GTAATGAAGACAAACATTTTGTGTTGAAAGAAATGGAGATTTTTAAATTAATGAATTTGAGCTGCTGCAGCCATTCAGCAGCAGCTGCTGCTGCAGCTGCGTTTGAGGCCCTGAGGCTGTGGGGTGCGTGCTGCTACTTGCTGCAGCAGCTCCGCAGCTAGCTGCAGCTAGCTGCAGCTAGCCGTGGCTAGCTACGGCTAGCTGCAGCTAGCTGGGCCCTGCTGGCTCCCAGAGAGCGCTGCTGCTTTGCCTGGCTGGGGATTCCCTTGCATGCATCTTAGCAGCAGCGCGCTGGGGAAATTACGGACGGCGGGGCCGATCTCGGGTTATTTTGCGTCTGTGGAGGAAAACTGTTTTTAAAATAGAATTAAAATTGCGTTTCGAATTAAAACTCGAAGGGAAAAAGAGGAAAGCAGCGCGGAACGCAGCAGCAGCCGCGAGCGAGCAGTGTTCGTTGAGTGGCGGGTCGCTCCAGCTGCGGGCGGCGGAAAGCTCCCCAAAAGCCGTTTAAAGTGGAATTTGGAGAGCAAAAGGAGAAAGAGAAGTCGAAAAGCTTTCATTAGAAGTAATTTGGAAGCAAATTGGCGCGAATTAAGGGGGGAATCGGGGGAGCGTGGCTGGGCGAACAGCAGCGTAGCGGCTACAGCTGGCTGGGCGCAGCAGCGGGCGCTGCTGCTGCAGTGCGATCCTCGCATTAAAAGCTGTCTTCACGGGAAAACAAAGCGCAACTGGCGAAGTTCAGGAGATTATTAGTTTATTTTTGCGTTTGGGGCGCAGGATTAGCGGGGGTTTCCTCGGGAACGGGGAGTTGAATTCGCCGCGGGTGGCATCGAAGATCGCGGGTCGCCGGGAGTTTCGCAGCGCTCGGCGCCGCATTCTTTGCTTTCTTTGCTTCCATTCGGCCTTATTGCATGCATTGAGAATGCCGGGGCTTTTGGGGCGCGTCGGGGTGGCTGCTGCTGCAGTGGCTGCGCTGGGCGCAGCAAATTCAAGTTTTGCTGCGGGCGCAGCAGCGGAGGACTGGGCGGCGGCGGCGTCTTCGGGGCTTCCGCTGTCCGCAGCGTTCCCCACGGAGGCAACAGCAGCAGCAGCGTCTTCTGCTGCTGCAGCAGCAGCAGCAGCAGCAGCAGGAGCGCCGGAAAGCCCGCGTTTCTCGCCGGAGGAGCAGCAAGTGGCGGAGGTGCAAGCCCTGGACGAGAGCGACTTGCAGCTGCAACTGCGGGCTTTGTATTCCGTTTCAAAAGACCTCGAAATGAAACAAATTTTCCCAGAAGGAAGTCTGGAAGGCATGCAAGAAGTGCTGAACGAGCTCAGCAGCGTGGAGGAGCAGCAGCGGGATGTTGAACAGTACCTGCGGCGGTTCGCGCTGCTGCTGGGCCGCTCTCTGAACAAATATGGGGCCTTTTTTAAGTTAAAAGTGGCTTTAGGAGACCCTAGTTTGAAGGGAGAAGCTTATAAGCAGCAGCAGCAGCAGCTGCCGCTGCTGGCAGCAGAGTGGACTGCAGCAAACCGGCTGCTGGTGAGCTACCTGCGGCTGGGCGCGCGGGACCTGCGGGACAAGTGGGGAGCAGCAGCAGCAGCAGACAAGCAGCAGCAAGAGCTGCTGCAGTTCTTCGAGCGGCTTGCTGCAGTCTACGAGCAGCAGCAGCAAGTCTTCCGCTGCGGCTACGCGCTGGCCGAGCTGCGCTACCTGCAGCAGCAGCACGCTGCAGCAGACCTTGCTGCTCTCCTCTCCGACAGCAGACAAAAAGCTGCTCTTCGAGACTTCGAAGCAGCTCTCGAAACCCTCAAAGAAAACACTCATTTAGCGAGAAAGGCAGCAGCAAAACCCGCGAAAAACGGACTCTTCAATCCCAACTTTTTGCTGCTGCTGCCGTTTCCCCCGGACAAGCAGCGCGAGGCCGACGACCTGCCGCCGCCCGAGGACGACGAGATGTGAATTAATTAATTATTTAATTTAATTAATTTAATTAATTAAATTAAATTAAATTAATTTAATTTATTTAATTTTATTCGTCCAATTCCGACAGGTTTTGCGCTCCAGACAAAAAAAACCACTTGCTGCGGCGACGCGCGGCTGCGGCGACGCAGCAGCAGCAGCAGCAGCAGCAGCAGCAGCAGCAGCAGCAGCAGCAGCAGCAGCAGCGGCAGCAGCAGCAGCAGCAGCAGCAGCAAAGAATGTTTAAAGGGTGAAATGCAATTCTTCTTTTGTAATCCGCAAATGGGTTTATTTGAATTCAAATCTTCTCAAAGACATTTGCAACTTTGCATTTGCTGCACCTGCACACTTTTTTGCTGCTGCTGCTGCTGCTGCACTTTTGTTTATATTTTCTGTACAATTAAAACCAACTTCCCTTTATTCATTTATCCATTATCTATTTATTATTTATTTATTTATTTATTTATTTATTTATTTATTTATTTATTTATTTATTTATTTATTTATTTATTTCTTTCTGCAAATAAATTGCTGCTTTCTCCTTTAGAAGCAGCAGCTGCAAACGGAAAAGAGAGAACAGAAGCAGCAACTGCAGCAGCAGCAGCAGCAGCAGCAGCAGCAGCTAGCTGCTGCAGGAGTAAGTGGGCGTTAGCAGCGAAAGAGAATTCGATGCCATAAAGGAGACTTAGGGTTTAGGGTTTAGGGTTTAGGGTTTAGGGTTTAATGAGGTTATTACTGTGCAAGTGGTGGAAATAAAAATGGCCAAACAGAAGAAGAGGGTTTGGGACTTCGGCTAAGAGCGACGCAGCAGCAAGAAGGGGTTTAGGGTTTAGGGTTTAGGGTTTGGGGTCGCATTTTTGGATTTTATTTTCTTTTAAATTCGCCAAAAAGGAATAAATAGGAATTACTGTTTTATTTTTACTTTAAGTTTCAAATAAATATATTTGGGGGAGCCCGGAGGGGGTTCGGTGTGCGTTTGGGTTTGAGGTGTACGTACACCTGGGAGAGCAGCAGCAGCAGCAGCAGCAGCAGCAGCAGCTGCGAGCCGCGCGCGCTGCTGCAGCTTCTGCATTTAATTTTGGTTTTAATAAATGAAATTGAAGTGGAATTAATTAAAGTTTATTATTTGCTGCTTTGTTTCCACTTGAAAGGCAGCAGCTGCAGCAGATCGCCGCAGCAGAAGCAGCCGCCGCAAGGACCGCTGCCGACTGCAGCAATCGGCCCGGTCTTGTTGGTTTTCGCGGCTCAAACGCTGTTTTTTCAGTGAAAACAAAACCAATTAATTGAATTAAAGCAATAAAATCCTTTCAGCAAACAAAAGAACCAAAATCAAGGGCCAAACTCTCGAAACGGAACCCCCTCGCCCAGCAGCAGCAGCAGCAGCCCAGCCCGCCAGCTCGCTGCTTCTTTCTGTGTCCATACACTCGAAGCCAGCAGTTAAATCCTTAAACAATCTAATTACTGATTTATTAAAAGGAGTTTTTGTCTTTTTGTTGTCTTTCCAGTTTTACTTTGTCCCCAGCTGCTGCCGAGATCTCTGTTGGCTTGCTGCTGCTGCTGCTGTTGCTGCTGCTGCAGCAGCAGAGGGACTCCGCCTGTTCTTTTTTTGCTTCTTTCTCTGTCTCTCCAATTATATCTTTATTTTCGTTGAAGAGGCCTTTATTTGTTTCTTTATTTCGTTTTATTTCTCTCTTTTCTTCTTTTCTTTCTTTCTTTCTTTTTGTCCTTTTCTTCTTCTGGACTTCACCAAACCACCCGATGCTAGCAGCAGCAGCAGAGGGGCTCCCCCGGAGCCCCTCGCAGCTGCAGCAGCAGCAGCAGCAGCAGCAGCAGCAAGAGCGACAGTCCCGCCGGCCGCTGCGCCTCCCGCTGCTCCTGCTGCAGCTGCTGGGGCAGCAGCAGCAGCTGCTGCTGCTCCTGCTGCTGCTGCTGCGGGCCGCAGCAGCAGAAGGCACCCCATATGACCCCTATGCAGCAGCAGCTGTGGGGCCCCACAGCCACCTTAACTATTACCCGCCGCCTCCATACAACCCTACGCATGCAGCTGAGCAGCAGCTGCGGCAGCTGCAGCAGCTGCAGCAGCAGGAGCAGCAGCTGCGGCAGCAGGAGCAGCAGCTGCGGGAGCTGCAGCAGCAGGAGCTGCAGCTGCAGCGGCAGCAGCAGCAGGAGCTGCAGCTGCGGCAGCTGCAGCTGCAGCAGCAGCAGCTGCCCGGCAGCCCCTTCCCGCCCCCCTACGAATACGGCTTTGCTGCTGCTGCTGCTCCTGCTGCAGCTGCTCCCGCTGCTGCGCCCACCGCAGCAGCAGCAGCAGCAGCAGCAGCAGCAGCAGCAGCGGGGCGGCTGCCGCCGTACGTGCCGCAGCCGTTTAACTACACAAGAGAGTTTTTAAAATCTTTAGCAGCAATTAAAAAAATAAAAAATAAAAAAATAAATAAAGTTTTTTCTCTTTTGAAAGAACTCAAATCCACAACTGCCGGTACTGTCTTTGAAGACCACGAGGTCAAGGTTTGTCTTTTGTTATTATTTATTTATTTATTTATTTATTTATTTATTTATTTATTTATTTATTTATTTATTTATTCATTATCTGTTTATTTATTTATTTATTAGTTATTTATTTATTTATTTATTATTTGCTGAAATTACCAATCAAGCAGAAGTTCGAAAAAAGGAAATAAACAGATTTGAAATAATTCCAAAACGAATTAAACAAACAAAATTATTCTTTTAACTAATTGATTTAATTTAATTAATTATTTATTTATTTATTTATTTATTTATTTATTTATTTATTTATTTATTTATTTATTTATTTATTTATTTATTTATTTATTTATTTGATTTGCTGCAGGTGCTTTTAATTTGGAAAAAAAGAAAAGGCGACTTTGGGGTGTCTGTGTCATTTGTGACTTTGCCTGTGGGGAGCGAGGTGTCTGTACAGCAGCTGCTGCAGCAGTTTTTGCTGAACGCAGCAGCAGCAGCAGCAGCAGCAGCAGCAGCAGCAGCAAACGGCTGCAGCAGCGCCTGGCTGGGGCTTTCTCTCAAAGTTGAAGCTCGAGAAAGAAAAGAAAAAAATAAATTTTTCCAAATTAAAAAAAAACAAATTCAAATTTCTCTCCGTCTTTTTGACGAAATTCGAATTATTTTCGAAGACTTGCCCACCAGCTTCCGCGTAAATTAAATTAATTAAATTAAATTAAATTAAATTAATTAATTTAATTTAATTTAATTTAATTTAATTTAATTTAATTTAATTTAATTGTTTATTTAATTCTTTTGTTTTATTTTTAAATTAAATAAATTCATTTCTTTTTCTTTTTATTCACTTCGCCGCTATTCCCACTTTTGCAGTTTTTCTTTTTTTGAATTTTTTTCACTTTTCAAATCCCAATTAATTCACTTCTTCCATTCTTTTATCATTCGTTTATTATTTATTTATTTATTTATTTATTTATTTATTTATTTATTTATTTATTTATCTATTTATTTATTTATTTATTTATTTATTTATTTGTTTATTTATTTATTTAGGGCTCTCCTTGTTATTCGAAAAGTCTCGAAAACCATCTCGGCGATTTCGTCCCCAGAATTCTTCAAGAGGAATTTCCAGAAACAAAAATAAAAGCAAGTTTTTAATTTAACTTAATTAAATTTAATTTAATTTGATTTAATTAAATAATTAATTAATTAATTAATTAATTAATTAATTAATTAATTAATTAATTAAGTGGTTTTAAATGGTAATGAAGTTAATTAAGTTACAAGAAGAGGACCTCGATCGAGGGCGCTATGAAAAGTAGTTCTTTCGGCAGCAAAAAAGAAATCTTTAATTAATTAATTAATTAATTATTTATGTATTTATTTAATTAAATTAATTAATTAGTTAATAAGTTAATTAATTAATTAATTAATTAATTAATTAATTAGTTTATTTGTTCATTTATTTATTCAGATGCTGGAGCTGAAGCCTGTGTCTGTATGGCGGCACATATCCCCTTCGCTGGGTGCGTACGAAGACGGGCCAGTGCTGTACAACTTCAGCAGCAGCAGCAGCAGCAGCAGCAGCAGCAGCAGCAGCAGCAGCAGCAGCAGCGGGGGCAGCGTGATGAGGGAAATAAGGCTGGGGAAGGGGAGCTCTCCGACGCTGCACCGTCTGGCTGAGGTGTACGTACACCGCGCGCTGCTGCTGCTGCGGGGCTGCAGCATTCGCAAAAGCGCCATTTTTCCTTCTTTTGCAATTGTTGCAAAAAGCCAAGAAAGAGTTTTTGTTTTGCCTCTCGAGGATTTAAAAGTGCCCCTCAGGGCCCTCCATTGGGCCCTCAAAGAAGCAGAAAAAGAAAAGGAAAAAGAAAATGAAAAAGAAATTCAAAAAGAAATTCCAAAAAAGTCCAAAAATCCAAAAAATGATAATTCAGAGGAACCCGTTTTCACTTTCGCACTTTACCTCAAAAATATACTCAAGTCCGAAGTCAGTCATTAATTAATTAATTAATTAATTAATTAATTAATTAATTAATTAATTAATTAATTAATTACATATTTATTTATTTATTTATTCATTTATTCGCTTGTTTGTTTATTGAAATGATTAATTTTTTGTTTGCTCGCCAATGCTTACTAATAAATAATTAATTCAGACAATTGGCCATCTGAATTAATTAATTAATTAATTAATTAATTAATTAATTAATTAGCTAATTATGTAATTAAATAAATAATAAATTGGCAAAACAAAGAAACAAATAGCAGCAGCAAGCAGCAGCAAATGGATTTATTGTTTGCTTTTTCTTCAGGCCGCTTTGCCCTGTTTTGAGGCTTCTTTGGGCCGCCTTTCTCCTTCAACTGTCTCTCTAAAGTCCTCTCAAATTAAAGTTTTAATCAACTCCAAATGCAGAGGAATATTTATAATTCATTGTTCAAAAAAAGCTCTTTTTCTCAAATTCACAAATCCCCAAACAACTGTCGCAGACGCCCTTGCGACTTTGCGCACGCAGCTGTACGTACACCGCAGCTGGGGGGCCCCCGGAGGTTGGGGGCCCCCGCCGCCGGGGGGCCCCCCGGGGGCCCCCGAGGGGGGGGGCCCCCTGGGGCCCCTGGGGGCCCTGGGGAGGCTGGGGGGGGCCCTGGGGGCCCCCAAGGGGGGCCCCCGGGGGGGCCCCCGGGAGTGCTTTGTGGGGTTTATTTCGCTGAAAAGAAAACAGCAAAGAATGCTGCTGCCGGGGGCCCCCTGGGTGGCTTTGCCGGGCAGTACCCTTTTGTCAGATGCTGCAGCAGGGGGGGCCCCCCTGCTGCTGGGGCCCCGTGCTGCAGCAGCAGCAAAGGTGTTTTGTCCGAATTACTTGTCCCTTTTTTCTTTTGCTGAAGAAGTCAAAACCAAAAAGGGTACTTTTTTTGCACTTTCTGTTTCGCAGGGGGCCTCGGGGGGCCCCCGGGAGCAGGGGGGCCCCTTTTTCGGGGGTTTTACCCTCAAGCCTTTGCAGCCAAACAAATAAATACCATTTAATCCAATTTTTCTTTTTTTTTCTTTTTTGGACTTTTCTAGACACTCTTTTGCAAGTCTTTTCTCCCTTTTGGTCTTTTCGAATTCATTTTTCATTATTCCTTTTATTTCCATTTTATTCTTTCCATTTTCTGCATTTATAATTCAAAAAATAAATGATAAATGCTAGTAAATGCTAATTAATGGTAATAAATAAATAACAAATAGTAATAACTAACTAATAATAATTAGTAATAAACAAGCACTCTATAATAATAATAGACGAATTTAAATAAATAGTACTATTAAGTAACAATTATGGTAAATAATTGTAAATGATAAATAATAATTAATTGTAGTAAACAACAATAGTAATAAATAATAATTCTAATAAATAATAATAGTGACAAATATTAGTAAATAATGGCAAGTAAATAATACTGAATATACTAATAAATGACTAGTAACTATTAATAGAGAGTAGGAAATAAACAAAAACTACCACTAAATACAGTAATAAATAACAAACAATAAATAGAAAAGATAATAATAATGAAAAAAGGAAGTAAATAATAAATATAACAGCAATGAGTTGTTCTGCGCTCGAGCGAGCACAGGATTTCAGTGTACATACACCCGAAACAGGAAACGAAAAAGAGCGGCCGAATTTGTTTTTGGGATTTTGCAAAAGGCCTTTCGAAATGATTTATTTTGGGACTTTGCGCCATTTTTGGAGGCTTTTTGTCTCTTTTTGTCGCATCAAAAGCGGAGAAAAATAAATGGAATTTGCAAATTCAAGAAATGCGTTTCGCGCAGCCCCGCGCTTGGGGTGTACGTACACCCGAAGCCCCGAGAGCGAGACGAGCCCGGGGTTTTCGCTGCAGTTCAGAAAAGAATTTTCATTTAAATGTTGAATATCTAAAATAATTAATGTCGAAAGAAATAATTAATGTTGAAAGAACATTTCACTTATTGTCTTTCCCCTTCGGCGGGAACACAAGCTCGAAGAGGTGTACGTACACCGCAAATGCACGCTCGACACTCACACTTATAAATGCGAAGAAGATACTTCCAACTTCCAAAATAAAAATATATTTCCACTTATTTCAACTTTTCTTCTTCCAATTTCAATTTAATAAGCACTTTTGGACACTTTTGGGGCTTCGCGAAAGCGGGCATTTGCTCGCGGTGTACGTACACCGCAGCTGTACGTACACCTGAGAGGTGTACGTACACCTCAGCTGCCCCGCAAAATGCACTTTCCGCGAAAGTCCAAAAGTGGAATTTCACTTTTGCAAAATTACACAAATGGGAATTTAAATGGAGATTCGGATTGCATGCAGCAAGTCTCGAAGTGTACAGACACCGAATGCAATTAGAGAAGTGAATTTTAAATGACTTTCCACTTGTTGCATGCATGCAAGTGCATGCAGAAGACCCACGAAAAGTTAGCAAAGACTAGAACGGAAAAGAATAAATGAATTTAATTTATTTAAATGTTAAATGCAAAACAAGAAAAGCAAATCCCGAAAGCTGAACACTGCGTCGGGGTGTCTGTACATACACCTGAAACGGCGGCTGGGGTCATTTCGCGTCGTTTTTCGCCGACTTTTCCCAAAATGAATTTCATTTTTTATTTTCTTTTCGAATTTCAACTCCTTTTTGCATTTAAATGCCTTTTTCCACTTCAGTTTTCCACTCAAACTGCAATCCGCGGGGAATACGCGGCAAAGGAGAAGAGCGCCGCCGTCACAACAGCTGTACGTACACCCCAAACAGCAAACAACTTCCGCATTCATTTCAACAATTAAATTCAAATTTATTTAATTTATTTAATTTCCACAAACACAAAAAGAAAACACTCCGAGGTCAAATGCAAAACAAACATTAAACTCCTAAAGCTCTTTCCGTTTCACCAGCCATTTAATTCCATTTCAAGACCATTTTAAAACCATTTAAATCCATTTTAAAGCAATTTAAATCAATTTAAATCCATTTTAAAGCAATTTAAATCAATTTAAATTAATTTAAATAAATTTGAATTAATTTAAATCAATTTAAGATTATGTAGGTCCATATAAAGATTAATTTAATTCATTTTGGATGCATTTGACTTAGGGAAACTGCAGAGGCTTTAATTGCTGCTAGTCTGCTGCTGAATCTTTTGAAGTTCATTTCAACTCATTTTAACGAATTTAAATCCATTTTAATCCATTTTAAGCGATTTAAATCCACCCAGATTAATTTAAATTATTTAAATGGATTAAAATGAATTAAAATGAATTAAAATGAATTAAAATGAATTAAAATGAATTAAAATGGATTGAAATTGATAAAGTTAGGGTTGATTTGCAATTACAAGAGAACACAATGGTGGCTAGCCAAGACAAGACCATGCTTCCAAACAGCTTCCAGTTTACAGCAGCCAAGTTGATGCAGCGCAGCCGCCTCTTGCTGCTGCTGCTGCTGCTGCTGCTGCTGCTGCTGCTGCTGCTGCTGCTGCTGCTGCTGCTGCTGCCTTGCGGCACCTCCAGCAGGCCCACGCCCACAGTGCTGCCCACGGCGCAGTGAGTCGTCGACAGCGGAATTCCCAACGCGCTGAACACCAGCACAGTCTGCAGCAGCAGCAGCAGCAGCAGCAGCAGCAGGTGCAGCAGCAGCAGCAGGTGAAGCAGCAGCAGCAGCAGCTCGGACGCCAACCTAGCTAGCTAGCTACCTACCTAGCACCCAGCTAGCTAGCTACCCATATACCACCCAGCTAGCTAGCTAACAGCTCCAAGCTGAATCCTCCAGCGGGAGTGATTTGCCTATATCGCTAGCTAGCTAGCTAGCTAGCTACCCATATACCACCCAGCTAGCTAGCTAGCCCCCAGCTAGCTAGCTAGCCAACAGCTAGCTAGCTAGCTAGCTAGCTAGCTAACCCAAGCGGCTCCAAGCTCCATGGCGAATCCTCTGGCGGGAGTGATCTTCTACAAAACTCAAAGCAACCCACACCGCTAGCTAGCTAGCTAGCTAGCTACCCAAATAAACCCCAGCTAGCTAACAGCTAGCTAGCTAGCTAGCTAGCTAGCTAACCCAAGCACGAGGCTCGAGGTACCGCTTAGGAGACCGCCCTCACTAGAAGATGTTTTGAGTTTCGTTGGGTGTGGCGATCGATCGATCGATCGATCGATGGGTTATAAACCCCAGCTAGCTAGCTAGCCAACAGCTAGCTAGCTAGCTAGCTAGCTAGCTAACCCAAGCAGCTCCGAGCTCCATGGCGAATCCTCTGGCGGGACTTATTCTCTATAAAACTCAAAGCAACCCACACCGCTAGCTAGCTAGCTAGCTAGCTACCCAAACAAACCCCAGCTAGCTAGCTAGCCAACAGCTAGCTTCGATCGATCGATCGATCGATTGGGTTCGTCGAGGCTCGAGGTACCGCTTAGGAGACCGCCCTCACTAGAAGATGTTTTGAGTTTCGTTGGGTGTGGCGATCGATCGATCGATCGATCGATGGGTTTATTTGGGGTCGATCGATCGATCGGTTGTCGATCGATCGATCGATCGATCGATCGATTGGGTTCGTCGAGGCTCGAGGTACCGCTTAGGAGACCGCCCTCACTAGAAGATCAAAACTCAAAGCAACCCACACCGCTAGCTAGCTAGCTACCCACATAAACCCCAGCTAGCTAGCTAGCCAACAGCTAGCTAGCTAGCTAGCTAGCTAACCCAAGCGGCTCCGAGCTCCATGGCGAATCCTCTGGCGGGAGTGATCTTCTACAAAACTCAAAGCAAC